ATTTTTAATTCTTAAATTTCAATACTATTCTGTTTGTAGAGGTATTATTTGTTTCATGATTTATATATTCTTTCTTATGTATAGAACCTAATCGAGAAACGTAATACAGAGAAAGTGATGCTAATTTTACTCCACAGGTCGCACGGGTGAGACCAATATTTTGTGAATATATAAATTACGAAATAGTGATCAGCATCTTGCCGTTAAATGCATCAAAAGCTATTAGGTAAACAAACAGTTAGATGAACTGGCTTACAAATGGAAGGTCGTATGGATGGACACCGCTAAATAAACTCCTCTTGATCAACTGTATGTATGATTAATATAATCTTAAATGGGTTGTTGGTCTAGCCTGTACGCTTCCCGATTTTTATAGTCCACCTAGTGTAAAAAATAACTTTTTCTGACTAACTTTTTGTATGACTTATATAATCTTAAATGAGTTACTTAAGTATCCTGTGTGCATCCCGATTTTTAATACCTAATACACTAATAGACACTAATACCTATAGCTAAAGGGATATTAAGGCTTAAACATTAAGACTTAAACACAATGACTTAAAATATAAAGCCAGTTGTCAACTACTGCAAATTTCTTAATAAGTCAGCTAATCATTTTTTTTCATACAATTCAGATACCGGCAAAGAAAAAAGAGGAAGTCATTAAGCATTTTTATTAATTGTATTTATCATTATCAAATCATTATGCTCATACTATGGTTCCTCTTTTTCTATTTCTTCTATATCTTCTTTCCTATTCCACACGGTTGCATTTTTCGTTTTTTGTATTTTTCCCAACAACAGAAAAGAACAACGCCACCTTTCTCCTATCAGCTATATCAATGCAAGGTGTTGTTCTGAAAGTTGGCATACCTACATAATTTATACTATGTATAACTGCAGAAGCTGCAACGATGGTGTATTCTACCAACAAATTTTTCTTTCAACGTATGGTGTAAACATATTAACTTGAAAATGCTCATATCAGATTTAACAATATCGATCATTGTCTTATGGATCTTAAAAATCACCAAAATCGGTATTATATTTAGTGATTACATTAGAGCAAAAAGATGAAATACTCTCAAACACATTCCCTATTCTTGTTTTTGTGACCTCTAAAAAATGTTTCAAGAATTCTTAGGAATTCCACTCGATACATATGGCTTGACTATAACTATTAGCTTTTTAGATCTTGAGTGCAACGGTTTCGAATAAAATAACAGAGCAGTCATACATAGATGTCTACCTTTTCTTAGAATTTGTCAGACATTAAGGTATTAGGGCTTTTCTGAATATAGTTAAAAATACGAAATACGTAGAGTGACTATAGATAGGGTGAGATAAAAAGTTTCAAATAAAGGAATATGACAGTCACACATAAATATCTACGTTTCCTAAGAATTTCTTATTAATAGATATGAAGGTATTGCCTTTTCTAGATATACGTGAAGTAAAAGTTATCCATTAGTGATTACAGATAAGGCAAAATACAATAGTCCAACAAAGGTTGTCCTGGATAACAAATGTTAAAGCTCGTAGAGCTATAATAAAATAATGATCTTGGAATAATTCAAATGTTTAATTTTATTTCACTTAGACTTTTTGTAAAATATTCAAAAGATTTTTATTTTTTTGTAAAATTTTTCAAAAATATTCGTTGTATATTTATTGAAACAAATCAATTTATTATCATTTAAAAAAAAATTCAAAACTAAGTGAATTACGTGGAACACACATTTTTTTCGAGTTCCTATATATAAGATAGAAATGCTTTCTATACTATTTGTATCTTATTACTTTTTTAACTAACAATCATCAGTTTTCATTTATATGTTCTTAAATATACTCCCATATAATAAACTAAAAACACAATAATCACCTTACTTTTGCATATTTATTAAAACTGTCTCCATTATTTAAATTTATTTGTGATATTTCATATTAACAGAGAAACAGACAAGCAGGTTTTATCAACTAATATAAAAAACGTATTCACGATACGGAGATCCAGTTTAAATCAGCATTCACACGACAGTTTTGTTAATTTAATACGTAGATAAGAAAATAAATAAAATCATGAGAATAGAACGAAACGTGAAACCGAATAAAAATATCATTCCGTAATTAACTCCAAAAATGTATTAATATATATTAATTAATGTATAACTTTATTATATATAGTCTTATTCTTTTTACTAGGTTTGTTTTATTTCAAATTATTATATTAAATATATTTAATATATCAAATATTTCATTAATTATTAACTAATGTATAACTTTATTATACATAGTCTTAGTTCTTATTATTGATATGTATAGGTCACACTCTTCTGAGATACTTCTTTGTTCACGCTCCAGCATCTCATGTCGCTTTTATTGGTGTTTTTTATAGTTCTTTAACTTGTATCATCGCATGGTCCACTGCCTTTATCATATGATTGAGTATGATATAGAGTACATTTTATATTGTATATATATATCCACGGTATTTTCACATTAGAATACATAGCTAATGGCTTAAGACTCTCACCGATCACTCAAGAAATCCTAAAATTCTCAAAATTAAAACAATTTTTTTCCCATCGCGTACTACATTCCATAATTTGAGAATCATTGAAGATTGAATATCACACTTCTTTTTATGTACGCTTGTTCCACTGTCAATGTCAAAGAAGAGTACTTAATTTAATTTCCAAAGAAATAAAAGAATTTTTATATTCACTGCAAATAATTTTAATTATCCTTTCAAGTTTTGCCTCTTATCGTGTGGTTCATCGTGAAGTATTAACCATGAGCCTTGAGTAGTTCTACACATCCTTCGCGCACATTCGAAAACAAAACATTCAAAACTTCTGCTAAATGTCCTTATCAGGAAGATGAAATCTTTCATTTGAATTCTACACTCTTAAGTGCATTTACCAAAGAAGAAAGTGTTTGGTGTGAAAAAATAATCAAAAATTATAAAAATATTTAAAAGCAAAAATGTGTGTTTATATTGGAGAAAAGAAACCGAAAATATATAACTTCATTTGAACTCCTTCCTGCGTCTGTGTCTCAAAAGAACATAAAATTGGATTAATTAAATTTTTAAAAAAGACTGGAAAAAAATCCAAGAGATTGACTCATTCCATCTCGATGTAGACATCGATGTAGACGATGTAGGTTTTGAGTTCTTTATATGTTAATTGAAAAAGAAAACTCGAATTATTATATATATTTCACAATTACATGAAAGGTCTGGGTTTCAACTGATACTATCTCTTTATTGCCAACATCAAGACTGAGTTTATATATTAAAGTTCCAGATATTAATACAGTGTATCTCATTATTGCAGATATAATGTTTTGAATTCTGTAAACCTGTTCGTGGGATCTCATCTTATTAGACATCATGGTATTATGTTTTTTTAGCTTAATGCCGCAGTTGTCAGAGCTGTATCTATACATATTAGTATTAGTTTTATAAACGAAACTATCATTATTAATAAATAAATAAAAATGTTTGTTTAAAAAAGTTCAAGTCTTGCTTTTTTTCGTAATTACAAATTTTAAGGATTTGATTACCAAACAAAGACTCTTATAACACATCGAACTCCATCTCCTGATAGAGTATATTTCTCTGAAATCGAGGCTAGTAACATTAGTGTTAGCTTTTTATTTACCAAAATGTGATTTGGCCGGTACTCTGTTACGGCTCGGAAACATAAAGTCCGATAGGAGATAATAGAAAGAATACCACTATTCGATACCGATTTTTGAACATTTTTTTAGCACATTACGAACAGATATCAGAAAGTATAGAGTTTTTTGGAATACTGAAATCAAGTGTTAATAAAAATTTTGATAAGTTCTTTAAGCCTCAAAGATTGAGATACATCGGACATGTTGTGAAAATAAGTTCTTCAAGAAATCAAGGAAGAATTATATACGAAAACAAAAATTTTAGTGACCACATCTAAGAAATCGTTAAGATATCAAGTTAGATTTAGAGCAGTTGGGCACCAAGTATCAAATAATTCAAAAGAACATAAACTTGGGTAAATACAATTTATAAAATAATACTAAAAGAAAATCCAAACGATTGTGTTTTGTGTTCTTTCAAAGTTAATTGAAAAAGAAAATTCGGGAAATTAGTCCATAGGTATAAACATATTATTGTAGATATTAAATATTTGTATGAAAGTTTTGGGTTTTATCTGATATTATTTCTATTGTTTCTATTTCAATATTAAATTTATTTATAAAACTTCTTTATTCTGACATTTATAATTTAACCAAAAACTTGGTCTTGAAATGGTTACATATGGCAATTTATGAGATAACGCCTCTCCTAATATTCTTTTAAAATCTGTACTTTTATCAATGACGTATTTATAAATCTCTTGGTGTCTTACAGCTGGTGGATGGAAAAATGAAGATAGAGAAAACATTTTAAAAATCTAGCTCTGTGTCGTTTATTTTTTGATCTATGTATATTCATCCAAAAACTTTGTCTTAAAAGTATTACTTTTCGTAATTTATAAAGTAACGCCTCTGTTGCTAAATTCAATGGATTTGTTTTGCCTCTGTATACCTTAAGGTTTCTTGCGAGGATTGTGGTAGAAAAAAGGTAAAAATTCGTTAGTTGAGGTCTGCGAAAAGCTGACCTGTCACTGCAACCAACCAACCAACCAACACCTCTCGAGATTCTTTCAAAATCTGCACTAAAATCAAGGAAATATTTGTAAACTTTTTTGTTTTCTTCCAACCTTGAAGTATAATAAGCCAATATGATTGAATGAGCCAAACGATAATGAAAATGTGGAAATCTATCCTATTCTATGTCATAATTGCAAATGTGATATGCTATATGCCCGCTAAATAGTTTTGACTTCAATTTCATAATCCACAATAATCAAATTTTTTTAATTTAAATTAAAAATATCTATAATATGCTTAGGATATCTTTTCATTAAAATGAAAATATATAAGAAAATTAAATTTGGAAAAATATCTACCTTATTTCCGTCCGTAAAAATTTTGACTAATTTTATTTGGCGGGTTCCTTGGGGAAACCCGTCCACACGTTCGGCAAAATTCTTGATCGAATTAATACAGACGTTATGCCTCAGCTTCTGTGTTGTAGATTGTTGTGGTATGTTGTTGCCAGCGTGGTTCCACCTATTGTAACTGTTTCACTTGTTCTAGTACTCAATTTTTTTTTTAATTTTACAAAAAATTTTCAAAGTTCCTTTTTGGAAGTTCTAAGCAAAAACAACACTTAAAAAAAGTTTAATTATCCAAAAAAAAAAAAGTGCTGCTACGAAACCGTAAAGTAGTTTTGTGCATCTTACACAGGTAAACTTCTTGAACCGAATATATTGTTAGAAAAACTTTGTTAAATTTTGATAATGCAGTTGAGAGACGCGTAGAGGGCAACGATAATCACAGCACAGTATAAAGTCAGGAATGAAAACTTTGTCCTGTCTATCTATGAGATACCAATATACTTGCGGCAACTAAGCGCAACACACGTATTTCATTACAAAGTTTTCAAAGAGATTTCATGTGGAAAATTGTACAAAAGTTTTTAAATAAGTTTCCAAAATTTTATAACACACATAGGGAGTTATTGTTATTGTTACGCTGTAATATATCAATTTCCGTATACCGAACACTTTTTATATCACCGATAACGCTAATTTTCTAATAAAAGAGTGAAAGAGGTCGGCCGTACACTAGTTCGATTCGTCAATTAAACCAGCACATTCTGGTAGTTTAATAAAGCGGCGGCAAACCCAGACGTATATATATTGTCCTACGTAATCTTATTAAAGTATCAAAGTTAGCCGATATCAGACGTAAAGTAATTCACTAAATTAATAACGTTTTTCGATACGATGTTCGATACGATGTTTTCATATGATACCACCGAACACGGTCGCAGTTTCAATGCGAATGATCTAGCGGGCTTGCATCGTGCTCGAATTTGAACTAATTGTGTCAGCTGTCAGCGTTCAGTGTTCAGCGGGCACGAGCTGCTCACATACAACCGAGTATGTGCCAGTGTACGAAGAAGCAAGCGAGCTTGAATTGTGCTTTCGCTCGTTGTGCGTTGCGTGCCACAACAACGTTTGTTGACGTACGGACAGACGGGGCTAGCAGCAATGGTGGATGCGAAAGCCGTGCTTGCTTATACGGCCGTATAAAGTGCAACAATAACGGTACTCGTTAAATTTTGTATGGTGACCAGTCAATGCACACGCACACGCACATATTTGAACATATATGTATATGCTACCCATACACTTACGTATCGAAGGGTTGTTTTCAGCAACCGAGGAACGGAATGAGTTTGGACAGAAGCTCTATTGCAAACAGTGGCAAAGGTTCATATGCACGTGCACAAGGACCGCCCTTTAATTTTGTTTATTTGTGTAGAAAAAATGAATTCCTCAGAAAAATATCCCAGTATTTTTAGGGTTGCGCATGCGAATAAATTTTAAACTCAATTTCAAACATATTTTACGTACTATTTCTCTTCATTTTATTTTTTTTATTTAAGTTTTTCATTTTTTTTCTGCTATTATGAGAATATTTACACTAATTTCAAAATTTTCTTTTTTGCCTAAATTATTTTTATTATTTACTTTGATATAACTTGAGATTTCTCCATTGTGGCACAACGGTCCATTGTTGTTGTGAACCGCTCTTTTGTTATTGCGAAACAGTCTCCTTTCTGGACTGTTTAACTGTTAGTTTAATTATACCAACACCAACACCAACTCAAGTTGGCTCTATTCTATATGGCATTTCGTTCATTCTGTCATAATGGTTTTTACTTTGTGATTGAACACCATTTGGCGCCCTTCGTTTGCTGCTTGCATACCGTTACTCCTGCATTGCACGTGGTGCCCATAAAATGGCTGCTTCCGGTAATTGGTTGGGAGTTACAGTTGCAAAAAGCAAAAAGCAAAAGGCAAAAGGCGAAATGCGAAACAGTAACATATACAGTCAAAATAACCGACCGAACTCATCACAATCGTGCTAAACCGAATGGAACAGTTGAGTATTGCAAAGTAAATGTTTTGTTGAGAAAATGGGGTGAGTGACGACGAAGAGGACTAGACAAGAGTAGAGTAAGGGGACCAAAAGTTGATTAGATGGATTTCGTTAGGTTTTTGTGTTTTTAATCACACACCAATTTCATTTATTAAATCTTCGCATCAGCATTTCATTTGCTTTATTTTATTTCTTTGTTTTTTCAAACACTCAACCAGGCACACACAGTAACACACACACCAACACAAAGTGACACACATACACACACACAGTGTATGAGTGGCAGATATACAATCGCACAATAGAGCCACACAAGCATTTGCTTTGGTAGTTCTTTGCAGTGGCGCTCATGTCAACTGGATGAAGTTCATCCAGTGTTCATTATAGTAATTATTTTCTTTCATATCCATAATTTGTTTTTGTGTGGAAAATTTATTTATTCCAAGCATTCGTATTCTGTTTCTTGGCTTAAGTTTGCGGGTTACTTATAGTTGCAAAAAACGGAAAGGAAGGAACATAGTTGAGTTTGCAGTGAATTTCGAATTCATTCTTGGTAAAATTTTTGAAGGATTATTTAATAATCTCTCGAATTAAATCTGTACTCATTATCTGTCCTCAAAATAATAAAATTTATTAATAGAACAGGAAATTTTGAAATATGGGGAAACTCATATTCGTTGTGTATCTACGAACTAACGAGTTCGCAATATCTCAATGGCTTACATAATTAGAAGTAATCAAATAGTTTCAATGTGCAATTTAGGTACAGTCTTTGCAGAGGCGACGAAAAGGAGGCCTTCAAAAAACGGAAGATGCCACGTGCACCAGAAGAACTGATTTTCTCGTTGTAATCATGGACGTAGCCAGAAAGCAGAACAAAGAGGAACCCCAAAAAAAATTCTCTGTAATTTTAAATTATTTTGATATTTCATTTATAATGAATAATATATGAAAAAACAAAAAAAAATATTTTAAAAAAAATCTTGATATATTAAAACCGTTCAATATCTATTGTTTTACAAAAATAGGGTTATTGGCCTATTGTGTTACCGAAATGTCCTTAGTAGTATTCGAAAATATTAATAGTATAAGATCGCACAATATTTGAGCGAAAAACCACAAGAGCTCTTTTGAATCAGAAAAAAGCGTTTGTACATCAAAACACAGCACGTTATTATTAAAGAAAAGGATTTCACTTCCTTATACCGATCATTAGCAGGGATATTTAAAATTAATTTTAAAAGAGTTAGTTTTTGGCAAGAGTTGCAAGTTCGTGGTTAATACAATTTTTAAGAGAAAGAGAGTGAATGTTTCAACAAGATGCTACACCATTACACAAAGTACGATCCAACCAACAATGAGCATAATGTTCCACACTTTATTTCAATCGGATCACTATGTTCTAAACGATCCTCAACTGCAAATCCGCTCAACTTCTTAGTATGGGTGCTGAGCAACCCTGCAGGTCATCTCTAAAAAATATGAGACTATATACTATAAACATCAGACAAACTATATTAGTTTAAGTGAATAGATAAAAATTTCGCAGACCCATATTTTTGAAGCGTGTGGGTCTCTTTCTCATTAATTCAGAACGATAGTTCTTGAGAAGCGTCCTCAGTATTTTGCAGGCCAAGTTCATCACTTACAAACATCAGAGTATTGATATGGTTTTCGTGAATAGATAATCATTAATTCATCGATTCAAGAGTTCTTGAGAAGGTACACATATCGTGATGATTAGAAATGATAAATAATATATATCTCATCAATGATGAAGTGTATGTAATGATAAAGTGAATAATATAATGGTAAAGTTTTCTGATAAATTGCAATTCAATTTGACCACACCGTGAAAAATAAAGAGTGTCAGTTATATTGTAGAGTTATTCATGGTAGACTACAGCATTGATCGAAAAATGTCGTTTAAAATGTGAATGATATCTACATTTAATGGTATTTAAGAATTTAAGTTGACAAGGAGAATTTTATTGAGAGTGTTGCGATTGCCTAATAAAGTATCTGATCGAGAGAAGTAGATAGAGAGGGATGTGAACAGATGGAGGCATTTACTTTATAGAATTTTAAGATTTACACATTTGATAAGAATATAATTATGAATATTGTCATTATTTAAATCAGGGCTGACCAAGCAAGGCCCATGGCTAATATTAGTGCGGCCTGTGACATGTTTTTAATTTACGATCTTATCTAGCTGCACAGCCCTGATTTATATGAAGTGTTTGAGCAAAAGAAAACTAAATAAAACATAGATAGAATAAAACACATAGAATATTTAGCTGTTATTTAGAGCATAACATTGCGACTAACAGATCTTTAACACTGAATTCTGCAGAACAAGGCGTGCCAATTACAATAAATCTAACTAAATGCAAAATCGCTATTTGAGCAAAGGCGATATTCAGTTATCTCCGACAAACGCGTCTTATTTCTTGTTGTTGCACTCAAACCCCCAGTTAAAAGGTGTCTCTCTGTAATCAAATGAACAAACCCCTAGAGGCTTTCGAGTTAAAATATTTCAAAGTTACATTACTAACAAAAAAGTTTATTTTTAAAAGAACTTCAGTAAAAAAGTTGAATTCGACACTTCAGTGTTTATCCTAAAAATTAATAAAAGTCTATGTACATATAGGGTACATTATAGACACCTACATCTCACTCACTTAAATTTATCTAATAGAAAAATTAAAGGTATCAAACTTTAGAACTTGAAAAATGGGTCTAAGTAGTGATTGAGAAATGATTTCTGGAATTACTGTATGCATTCTCAAGAGTATTAAATGATTAAGGACATCATATTTTTATGAACGTGGCCATTTAAATTTTTTTTTTTATTCCCACCTGCACCTATTTCTTCGTTTCTTTCGTTATATATTTATTATAGTTCGTTGCAATATATATACATAGTACCGTTGAACTGCCTGCCTGCCTGCCTGCCTGGTCCTACTCCACCCCCACATTACCAATAAAATTTGTTACATGGCGCGTAAATTGATAAGCTTTCCTTAAGTTGCTTACTGCTGCTGCCCATCTATTATTCAGCCATCCGTTCTGCATTTCCCCGTCCCTCTTTCATTTGAAAAAACGCTTCTGGGCGTTTTAGTTGATTCACCACCATTGCAACTGGCACCCTTACCATACCACTACCATCACTGCCACCACTACTACTACTACTACCACTACTCGCTACTCGCTACTATTAAATAAGACCAAAATACTTAACGAGTTAAGGTTAGGTAGACACGCACACACGCACACACAAACACAATATATGTTACATTTGAGCAGAACAGAAGGACTGAATGGATGCGATTCTTCGTTTAAAAATTTAGTGCGCCTTCCCACTTCGAAGCATGTTTTATTTGTGTTTTATTTGAATTTTCCTGCCTTGCGCTCGCAGTTTGGTGCTAAGATCCATTTTGTTCTGTCGTTTCCGGCAATCACTCGTATTACTGCTCCTCCTCTATAAGGAAGTTGGAGGAATTAAATTGATGTAATTTATATGGGCACTTGACTAGCTAAATTGCCTTTCAAGAAAATTGTTATATTATTCGTTGGTTTAATGGAAAATAATTAATTTTAATCCGCAAAAAGTTCCGCAGTCTGCCTGTAGTTTGTAAAGGCAGTCTATTTATGTATACTCCAAGAATGGGACCACTAAATTATTACCAACGATTCACTCCTCGCAAACACACAATCACACCCAGCTCAACTGGAGGACGCATGCTGTGGTGGCAGTGGTAGCAGTGGTAGCAATTATTTGTTTGGAGCACCATTTGCAAATTTAGTACTTAAATAAAAAATGATAATAATAATCATCGTAATAAAACCCTAAGCACAAGGCAAGCCTGTGTTGCGTTACGTTCTTACGTTCTTCCCTTATGAAGAACGTAACGAATTGATATATAATAGATTGGGCTGCACAGTTGGATAGTAACGAAATACATATACTGCCTGCCAATTGGCATTATTAATTTACAAATTGCTTACATTTTGTCCCGAATCGGTGCCACAACTTCTTCTTCCATCGTGGCTGACTGCTATCCTGCAGTTTATACTCAACATTTACAACATGTTGGTAGCTGCTGCTGCTGCTGCTGCCTACTTCCTTCCTTCCCATCGCACGTGTAAGCGCA